ACACACACACACACACACACACACACACACACACACACACACACACACACACACACATATATATATATCCGAAATTCACGAATTCGGAGTACAGCCCCTGATACTTTATGCTAAAAGAAACAACTTTTTCTTTTTTGCAAAATTGCATCTAACAAGTAATTTTGCAAAAGAGCAGATTGAAGTTATACGAATAAGCACAAAAATTATTTATTGGACGCAATTTTGCTAAAGAAAAAAGTTATTTAAGCATAAGTATCATTCTGTATTCCGAATTCGTGAATTTCGGATCACCCAGTATATATGTACATATATATACCTATATACACATATACACACACACACACACACACACACACACACACAGAGAGTGTCCTTAAATTTCAATATCACCCTGAGCAAGACTAGAGCGAACGAAACTGACTCAAAAATCTTTTACTATTTTGCGATTTCCGCAATGATTAACGAGATATTAATTACTAAAATCGCTAAATAGCCTGACAAGTCTTTCTAGAACATCCCACTCCTCGCGGCCCGCGCACCGAGCAATGGGCGTACACTTAATAATAGTAGGCTGGGTGGAACTATAGTTATCTATATATTTAAATATAAGAGTCTTTTAGGTCGTTGAAAACGAATTCAATGTCAAAATTAAAATAGTGGATATGGCAGATATAAAAACTTTAGAAATGTTCAAATTGTTGCAAAATGTATAGAAGTCTTCCATGACTTTGAATTTGTCCATTTTGAATTCGTATTTAATGATCTAAAAAACATAATGTTTAACTAAACAATTGAAAGGAATTTAGTAAATCGTTAATGATTGAATTCAGTTTTTTGCCATAAACATTTAATTATGAGTGTCTTATTAACTATAGCCAACACTAAAAAAACTTTTGAGGATTGAAAATCTTAACGTACTTAATTTTAATTACAATATATCCTCTACCTGACGTATATCTACCCCTCTTACAAACCCTTCCTATATCATTGAATTTTCCTTCCTACATATTTTTGTTACCACTTTCTTTATTAGATGACAGGATTATTTCAACTATTGAATGTTCTAGCATTACATCTCAGAATTCTACAGTATTAAGACTCGTTTGATATCTTTGAATTTTATAATTAAATAAAAATTGTACTCAAGTTTTTAATTAATTTAGACGATCTAACATTAATCATCTGCAGATATTTACTTGTTATTTTTTGTGTAACTTTTAATAATTGATTTTCGATTTAATTTGTAATATATAATATAGTGGTATAATGTTACAATAATTATTAATGATAACATTATATTATTAGTGATGCAATATTTTTGTTAATTATAGTTATAAAAGGAACATGAAGCGTTTTTACATTTATTCTACTTTGAATTCACTGTATCAACCTGATATTGATAAAAAGTTCACTGTATGATTATACCACATACCATGCAATTATTATTAGGTGACATTTGAATTCGACTAACATTAAGTTCCGATGATCATGCTGTTTTGTATCTAGAGCTTTACCTGCAATTATTCCACTTGCCAATATACGAGATAACATGTGCTTATCATAATTTAACTTCTTACATTGTTATCGTAACTTTTCAATTTATTGTATTATTGAATATTGAAAATGACCCGATAGGGATCGTCTATACAAATTTTTAGATTGTTTATAATAATATTATTACACACATAATATCCTGAGTGATTCTTCCTATATTATATTGTTTAATTTATTTAATTATTTGAACCGTAATTATTTATTGAATTATACAATATAATTTCTTCTATATGTCACATCGTAATTAATATAACAAGATATATAAAAATTGTCCTCTTTTACAACTATAAACGCGAATTTTTCAAAATTGTGATGTGATGGAACAATCAGCCCATACAGCACACTTTTCTGAGAGACAATTGGGAACAAGTTAAGGGACGTAGGGACGTTCTGTGAACATCTTTGGAATGTAGGAACATCTTTAGAACATTCCTTGGAATGTTCTATAAGTGGAATCTGTGCTATAAGTGGAATTCAGATTCATATTCAACGTTCAAAAAACTAAAAGATATAACTTCGTTCTAATTTTGTTGTTAAACAATGTTATTATATCTAGATAAGGAATCTATTAAAAAAAGATATACAAAGCTACTATGTCATTAATTGTCTTACAGCCATTTAATGATATTATAGATACTTACGTATATAACTAATGTATAATAATACAGATACAAATTTACAAAATACAATTTTAACAATTTTTTAAATAGAATAATTTTTCGTTTTACATACCTGTTATATCCGAGTTGTCTACATAAAATATGAGCTTCTTTTAAAGTCCAACTATTTCTAGAATCGCATACAATACCCCAACCAGGCAGCACACCTTGTACCTCAACATAACCATTGCTCGGCTCAGAACCGCCTCTCAAACGAATAATCTATTGATATATTAAATAAAATGTTTTTTGTTATAATTAAGATTAAATTTTTTTAATTTATCGTTATATAAATGTTCTTACCTGACCAGATATAGGCGTTAGTCGAACGGACTTTTTTGAATAAGTTAATGGATGCACTGGCGGCACGTAATAAACTGGGAATGACGGCTCTTCTATAATAAAATTAATTATTACTAATAAATTGTTATTAATTAAAATTAATTAATAATAAATGTTTTATTTACTTATATTTTATTTATTTATTTAACTATCACTTATTTGTGGATCCAATATAGAATGTAATATACAATATGATTTATATTGTCATGTATATTTGATATATATTTACACAGAATATATTTTTATATACTATACTACTATAATTTTTTCCCACAGTTATAATTAAAGTCATGCGAAAGCACAAAAAGCAAATACATGCAAAAGGATAAAATCAATTAAGTTAGTTAAACAAATTTAATGTAAATAAATACATAAATTGATATATAATACATAAATAATAACATACATGACATATAATACATATATTTAATAATATAATGTGTAAATAATTTTTATATAGTGAACATGTATATAACATTAAAAATAGAAAAGTTACATTTTAACTTTTTAGTGTTATCTAATATCCATGAATAATTATTATGTAAAAAATGTTGCACATAAAGTATATATTATAAATATTTAAAACATTTAATAAATAATAGCAATTAGTAAATAGAAAGATTTAAATTAAAACACAGTATTGATTTTAATTATCGACTTACAAATCTCACATTGCAACATTATTCAAAAAACGATATATTTTTTATATTCTCTGCAAAAGCTTAATCTAAAATAAGTTTATTTCATTATTGCATATACTTTGAGTGGCATAACAATGCGCAAGAAAGCAATTACGAATAAATCCATGCAAAAAAACAATTAAAGAATAACTTACCAAAATTTATTTTTTACGCACATGTATGTAGCGAGCACTCATTTTATAGATAAAAATACATAAATTTATATAAGTTTTAAATCATTAACTTATTAAATCACTAACCTTCTTGAAACGGGGCTGCTTCTATATTAAAAAGTTCGATATCGGTATTTTCCGGACTAATTTTCATAATGACTGATGAAGCCGTCGTTGTCTTGGTTTTATTTTCGAAAACCAGTCTAGGCTTCCAGATATTTTTGTCTAATACATCCACGTTGTAATCATTTATTTCAGGTTCTACAATATTTGGAGGTTTCAAATTTACATTACTTGTTTTCGTATCACCACTCCAGTTATCATCTTCACGTTCAATTAATTCACTAGATAAATTAAAATCATTTATGTTATCAGAATTATGCAACTCTTTTTCTTTCGCAGTATTTTCAAACTCCCGTCCTCTTCTTGACAACTCCAGTTTATTGGAAATTTTCTCTGTTGTTGTCATCAGCGTTGTCGTAAACAAAGTATAATCATTTTCAGAATCTATTAAAGAAAAAATATGTAGTTTTAACAAAACATTTAGATGTAAATTGCAAAATTTAAATATACAATTATTATATTTATTAACAAAATTATAGCATAAACAATCAATCCGATGGTAATTTTTAATGAATAACTATAATGGTTCCCAATGCATATTACATTAAGGTAAATAATAATTGCTCGTTTTTATCGATAGAGAAAGAGAGAGAGAGAGAGAGAGAGAGAGAGAGAGATTTTACAACACACACACACACACACACACACACACCACACACACACCACACACACACACACCCCACACACACACCACACACACACACACCACACACACGTGCATATTGTATATGTATATACAGGGTGTCCGGCGAGATTTCTGCCATGGAGCGCGTGTAGATAGAAAGGACTAAATTAAATCGAAAAGTTCTCTATCATTTTGCAATTTTCGCAATTAGGTAACGAGATATTAATTACTAAAAATTGCTGAAAATTGATCTTCAATAATTTTTAACTTGAATATCAACTTTACAGAAAAACTGCAAGAGATAAAAATTGTTTATTTTTTTCTCATAGAACTTTAAGAATTTTTTCAGAATTTTTTTATCAATTTTTTAATACTACATTTTCTTATTTTTATCAACAGAGAAAATACGGTATTAAAAAATTCTGAAAAAATTCTTAGAGATCTATGAAAAAAATAAACAATTGTTTCTTGCAGTTTTTCTGTAAAGTTGTTAGTATTTGAGTAAAAAATTATTAAAAATCAATTTTCGATAAATTTTAGTAATTAATATCATTAATTATTGCGAAAATTGATAGAGAACTTTTCGACTCAGTTTAGTTTATTCTATCTACATACACTCTATGGCAGAAATCTTTCCGGACATCCTGGAAATATAGAAAATTTTAAAATTAAGAATTAAAGATATGATGATAATATAAATTCAAAACAATTGAGCATTAAAAAGAAAATCAGCAAGTAATGTAAAATAAAATTAACCCTAAAATTAGTGTAAATTGAATGGCCAAATAATATATTTCAATAATAAAATAATATATTTTAATAACGTAATAATTATACTGTTAAAAATGTTGTTCCAGTTGATAGGTTTTTGAGTACTATGTGATTGATGGCTCTTTGAATGCTGATTATCTTCAATTTCTTTTGTGATGTAATGACCTTTTATGCCATTTGCATTGACATATATTCCATTTGGATAAAAGTTTGATCTTGGATGTTCAGTTGTATTCGTAGATTCTACAAATTACAAAGCGTTAGAGAG